CTTTCTTTCTTTCTTTCTTTCTTTCTTTCTTTCTTTCTTTCTTTCTTTCTTTCTTTCTTTCTTTCTTTCTTTCTTTCTTTCTTTCTTTCTTTCTTTCTTTCTTTCTTTCTTTCTTTCTTTCTTTCTTTCTTTCTTTCTTTCTTTCTTTCTTTCTTTCTTTCTTTCTTTCTTTCTTTCTTTCTTTCTTTCTTTCTTTCTTTCTTTCTTCTTTTATCTTGAATTTTTCAACAACTTATTTTATTTTCACCTTTACTTTTTAACCATTAAATTTCATTATTTAATTAATTTATTAATTTAGTTTTAAATTATTTTAGTATTTTTCCATTATTATTTTATTTTAATTTATTTTATTTACTTGAATTTTCAACATTGGTTGAATTTTAAACAGTCACATTGGTGTGTTGTTTTTTTGTTGTTGTTTGAAATTAGTATTAATTAATCCATCTTTCTATTTTATTTTATTTATTTTGTTGCTTTATTTAATTCTCAACTGTCCCATCTCTTGTCAATGCATTTTTAAGTGCTTTGTTTCATCTATTACTTTGTTTTAATTTTGTTGTTCTTTATTTTTATTTTATTTTATTTTATTTTTTGAAAACCGTTGTGCTACTTCATATGTTTGTGGAAACCTTGATACACTACCATTCAAAAGTTTGGAGTAAGTTTATTACTCTAAGATTTTACTTTAAGATGTTATACTTTTATTCCGCAAGGATGCATTAAATTGATCAAAAGTGCCAGTAAAGACATTTATAATGTTACAAAAGATTTCTGTTTGAAATAAATACTGTTCTTTTGTACTTTCTGTTCATCTGTGAATCCTGAAAAATAAAATGCATCAGTTTCCACAAAAATATTGTGCAGCACGACTGTGTTCAACATTGATAATAATCAGAAATGTTTCTCGAGCAGCAGAGCAGCATATTATACTGATTTCTGAAGATCATGTGACACTGAAGACTGGAGGAATGATGCTGCTGTTGGTGTTTGTCAGGATGGTGCTGATCTCTCTGACCTCTGTGGTGGTTCTGGTCATCAGGACGGACTGGATCAGGTGGGATAACCTGAACCGCGGCTTCCTGCCGAGCGACGAGCTCTCCAGAGCGTTCCTGACCTCCTTCATCCTGGTCTTTGACCTCCTCATCATCATGCAGGTACAAACACAAGCTCGTCTGTCGCTCCTTCATTGACTCTGTGTGCGCGTGTGTGTGTGTGTGTGTGTGTGTGTGTGTGAGAGAGTGTGTGTTGTGTGTGTTGGTGGGAGGTGGTTAGTGTGTGAGAGTGTGTGAGGGTGTGTGTGTGTGTGTGAGTTTGTGTGTGAGTGTGTGTGAGTGTGTGTGTGAGTGTGTGTGAGTGTGTGTGAGTGAGTGAGTCCGCTCTTGACTGATTCTTGTTTAATGTCCTCCACATCGCCACAGGCAGCAAATCACAATGGAGTGTGTCACTGTCTCATGAATATGCTAATACGAGCTCAACAGGTCCTCTCGCTGTTCGTCCTGTAATAACCTCACACACACACACACTCTCACACACACACACACACACACACACTCTCTCTTTCTGGAGATTCTGGCCAGATTCTTGTTCTCATCTGAAGCGATCTTCATTTATCTTTAAATCCAACTTTAATGTGCTTAGGAGATAAAAAAGTCAAGTCAAGTCACCTTTATTTATATAGCGCTTTTAACAATACAGATTGTGCAAAAGCAACTGAACAGCTAGGAAAATAGTGTTAGTGTCAATAATGCA